TTTTAATATTAAACTTTTGCTGAAATCTTGTTTCAAGAGGATATGAATTAGAGAAATAGCTTCAATTACTATATAAAGGGATGGTTCTTCTCGGAATTCTTCTCGAAAATCTGGATCTTTTCATTGTGACAAGCTATCATATGCAAAAACCTAAAGCCAATTCGATACTCTTGGGACTTTTCTTACGACAAAAAGTGAAAATAAACTCCGTCAATAGATTCTATGACCGTGAAAACCCTGGGGCACAAATTGCTGACATTGAATCTCATTTGGGAATTATTTACAGAACAAAAGAAAAATCACTGTGTAAAGTGAGTGGCCTAGTGTTCTTTGTGCGGCCACATAATCGCTTGCGACCTGGTATATCCATCCGGCGCAAGGTGCTTCCCTTTTGGAAACCTTTGGAAAAAAGAATCGGAGCTTTTGGAATAGGAATATTGCGGCATTAGTTCAAATTTTGTAAACTCAGCCTTTCAAAATTCTATTTTTTTGTCATAATGATAATATTGATCAAAACAAAAACAATTGAAGCACTTTAAAATGAGAGTTTTTTTGGTGAGAAAGAAAAAAAACAAATGAGAGCGAGAAAAAAAGAGATGCACTAACCAGAAATGGAAAAAAGAGGAGATGGGTTGACTGAGAGGACCGACGGAGAGGACTGACCGAGAGATTCCCTCTTGTCATTCGCTCTAATTCTCAATTTTTTCTTTTCCTATTTTATCATCTTTATCCTCTCAATTTCTCAATCAAAAAGACGAAATCTTTATATAAAACTTTATCGTTTCTTTTTTAGTGACTTGAACTATAAAAAGAGCCGGATAATTTGAGGTGTATCGGACATATTTTCATCGAAATAACACCTTTATTTTGTAGAGGTTTTTGAGAAAAAATTTACAAAAATGAGGAAAAAAATGGTAAATGTTGACCTCGAGAAAAGAGCAATCATCTGGAAAAATCATCTTTCAGGTCAAAAATGGAAGGATCATGCTCAACAAATCGTGGAATATCGATTTCTATGCATTTCTATGCATCAAAAATGCTTCTATTCATTTTCGGTTGAATTTCGGAATTTCGGATTTTTCATAAACATTACTTTCGGTCTGGGTTAAAACGTGTAAAGTCAAATAGAAAATGAAAATGAAAAAGAAAATGAAATAATAAAAAGTGATGATTTGTGAGTGGAAATCAAAATTCTGCGTAAAGAAAATCTCTTTTCTTTTGTCTTTTTTTTTTTTCTTCATCGCCGATAATCAATGTTATTGATGAGTATTTCAGATTGGTCGAACACACAATAAAGAGCATTTGATTGAAGGGGAAAAAAGAAAAGAAAGGAAAAGAAAAGAAAAGAAAAGAAAAAGGAAAAGAAAGAAAAGAAAAAATTATGTGAGAAGTTTTGATCAGGTCAATATTATTTTTTTGATAAAACCTGTGATATTTTCTGAAAATAAAAAGAATTCAGAGCGAATTTCCGGTGAAAAAAAGAAAGAGATTGAGAAAGAGGAAAAATAGAGAAAAGAGAGATTTTAACGGTGAAATCGACACGAGAAAAGAGGAAAATGCACAGGAAATCCGCCCGAAGAAATGAAAAAAATGAAAAAAGACTCGAGAATGGTGAAAAGTATTCTAATTTTCTTGATTTACTATTCTTTTGTTTAGGAATAACAGCTTTGATCAATAGCTTTCGATATTTTAAAAAAAATCTATTTGAAAATCCCATTACATTACAAAAATATTGTTAATTGTTAGAAAAAAGAATTGAAGAGATCAATTTCTCATGAAAGTTTCTTTTCTTTCTTTTCCCCTAAAAAAGATTCTCCGATATTTTCTCATCCCGTTTCGATTTCTGAATCATTTGTCAGATGGGATTTCTCTTAGTTCTTCTTCGATAAAATTCCCCGATTCTATACAGTTACCATTGAAATATTTTGCTCTAGCTCTTTCTCATAGAACAAAGTCAAAAATAAGAAGAATTATTAGAAGATTGGAAGATTAGAAGATTAGAAGATTAGAAGATTAGAAGATTAGAAGATTAGAAGATCAGAAGAATTATAATACTTCATCTTACTGTAAATTACAAAAAGAATTCCCATTTACTTTTACTAGTTTACTGTTTTTTCTTTAAGAATCTATTCCATTCAAAAAAAAAGCAAAAACAAAACTTTTTTTAATTTTCAAATAGTCATTCAATTCATTTTCTGGATTTTCCTTTAAAATAAGACTTTCTCTCATAAAGTAACCATGGTATTCTCACTGATACAATGAAATTTTTCATAAAAAAAAGGAAATTCATTGAAATTTTGAACAAAAAATGATTTACGGATGGTTCTATATGGGGGAATTTTCGATTCACAAACATTTTCTCTGATTTTTCTTTGATCAAGGATCGAGAAGTTATTCATAAATGACTAAGATGCAAATAAATAAATAATTAAATATTTTGACTACTGTATGCTTATTTCAAATGTTCACTTCTCCAAAACCGACCGTTTTTGAGCGTCTCGCCGCAGTGATTGATGGAATTTTGTGTGTTGTGATGAAAGATGAAGAATTTTGATCGCTTTGATCGATTGAGACAACGTTTTTTGATCTGAAATTGAAAAAATAAACTTTATTTTATTATTATAACTGTAATCTTACTGTACCATTTTTAGTTTTCTTTCTTTTTTTTCGTGAAAGTATTTTAGCAATATGTTATAAGCGGTTATGATTATCTGATTCGCTTCTATTCTCCCCCTGAATAAAGCATATATATTATTATTATTATTAAAAAGCGATACTATTTTAATAGAAGCTTTAATAGAAGATTTCTTCAATTTAGATTATTACCTTTAAATTATCTGTAGATGATCTTGATCTTGAAGCTCTAGTGGATCCTTGACGTTATCTGTGCTACCCATATATTACATTTATTATATCGTGTTTCTTTTTATCGGCCCTTTTCGTGTTATGTGTATGAATTCATGTGTTTTAATCTTAAATCTAGCGCACTTTATCTCAGGTCCTGAGTAAAGTATCTATATTACCTCATTAAACTACCATGAATGGTCGACCCATTTATACGCCATTTTTGTCGCATCTTTTCAAAAAAAAATATATAACTCTTAATAGAAAGAAAGGAAAAAAGAATTTGAAAATCAATTATCATCAAAAAAAGAATGGATGGCTTTTGTGGAAAAGAAAAAAAAAGTAGAGCAATGTTTTGAGTGAAATAAAAAAGGAAATCTCTGTACGGATGAAAAAGAGATGGGATAAGATGAAAGTCGAAAATCGAATAAAGATGAGAATAAATGAGAAAAAAAGAAGAAAAAGAAGAAAAAGAAGAAAAAGAAGAAAAGGAACAGGAAATACACACGCACACATAAATTTTCATTTGCTAACAAAAATTTCGAAGTTCGAACAAAAAAAATTCAAACTCAAAAACAGAAAAAAATTTTAGAGAAAAACATTTAGAAATGAATCAAAAAATGGAAAGATCCGCATATCTTGGGAAGATCATAAAGAAACCCGGAGAACATTCACTTTTCTCCGATCAACAAACGTCTGATCGGGATGGGGAACAGCTTGTGCAATAGTTGAATCAGAGAAAAATCCTCCCTGTATTTCATCCGGAGATACATTCAGCTTTTCTCTTCTTTTCCCTTCTTTTTCCCTTTTCTCCCTATTGCCATTCCCTTCTTGATTCTTTCCAAATACACATACAAATCTTCTTTTCTTTTCTTTTCTTTTTTCTATGTGTTCTTCTTTGACAAACACAATCCCCAACAATAGCCAAAGACAGGGAAAAATCGAAACTTTTGAGAAAATTCGGCTTTCTTTTGGAAACATTTGAATGAAGAAAGAAAAGAGAATGATGATCATCGAATGGAAATGGGAAAATGAGAGGAAATTGAATGGCAATGAATGGAAGAATGGAAGAATCGAAGAAGAGAACTGGGAAAGACTGTGGACGATTGGGGAAAGCACTACAACTAACAGGATTGTCTCCCAGCAATACAATTTGTCACAATCAATTTTTGCATCCAAGGACATTTTGAACATTTTTCTAACAATTTCAAAAACTCCCAATTGTTTGGTATACAAAAAGAAACTGAAGTAATGGATTAAGAAATATTTGAACGAGTTGAGAGAAAATGAAGGTGCGAAAATGGGGACTGAGTTTGACAAAGGCTGGTTATTCGACAATATTAGCTGAATCAAGAAGGAGAAAGGAAAAGAAGAAAGAAAGGTTGTCAGATGAAAGAGAAAACAAAAGTTATTTGCCTGGGAAAAGCGACGATCAGGGTTAATCACTGCTTGAAGAAGAACCCCTCTGTGCACCCATCTGGAAGAAACCCTTTCCCTTCACCCGTTCTACCAGCTTCTTCCCTTCTCTCTCTCTCTCTCTCTCTTTCTCTTTCTCTTTCTTTCCCCCAACAAACACATTCACCATGCTTCAAGGCAAATAGATTCATTTCTTTGATTTTCCTTGTGAATTCCCCTTGATAGTCTTTCGATTTCAAGAAAGTGAAGACAAGATTTGATTCAAAGAGTTCAATCAGTTATATTTACAAAAGACAGTGTCTCTAAAACAGATAAAATGGACAAAATTCGTTCCTTAACAATCCATATTTCTTTTTTTATCTGTACAATAAACAATTTTGTTCAATAAAGCCTTTAAAATCCAGATACAAACCAGGAAGGGAAAAGTAAAAAAATGATATTTTCACCCGAAATTTTCTGTAATCAATTGATTGAATTTCATTGAATCTTTTCATGGGGGAAAGTGTGAAAACGATTGAGAACATAAAATAAAAATGATAAGTGGAAAAGAGGAAAAGAGAAGGAATCGTGCAAAGAATTTTTTTTGAATTTAAAAACTCGGGCCAATGTGTGATCAAAAAGAGCTGAACTTAAACTTAAACTTAAAGAAATGAGCAAGCAAATCAATCGATCGACTAATGACTTTTCTCAATAAATTCATAGAATATTAAAACAATATTCCCATAATTTTTGTTTACTTACAATAAAGTAGACAAAACGGCAGTCTCGAGTTGGTCGACGATTGACAAAATTCGAACACAATCAATGCTCACGTTGGGGTGATCGAATTTTAGATCTGAAAAATGAAATATTAGAAGAATAATAGACGATCATTTACTAGACTAGAACTGAAGTAGAGAGAAAAAAACAGGATTCTTTTGGGAGAGTCAGTGAATGCAAATCTCCTCAATCTTCACTAAACTACACTACTGGACAATGAAATATCATATTTAAAAAACTATCGTCGCTTTCGCGCGCCTGTAACTCCCTTGTCTTTACCGTATTTCTAAATATTAATATTACCATTGTGTAGCCCTTGAAAAGAGCTTTCAGAAAATGTATAACACTAATAGTTTAAACTTAAAGACAAGGGAGTTACAGACGCGCGAAAGTGACGATCTTTTTTCAAATATGATATTTCATTCTCCAGTACTGTATCTATCGCAAAAGCCATGTGAGTTTAAAGAAACTAGAAAGTCAGTCTTTTTTCCTCACTGCAATCGACTGAATATCTTAAGTTCTCATTGCAGTAAGTGGGAGATTGAAGAGAATAAAAAGTATGGATTCTTCTCGGAAAATTCTTCTTTACATTGTGAAAAGCTATCATATGCCAAAATCCATAAACAATGTAATTAATTGGAATCGTGAAATCAACCTGGATTTGAGAAATTTAGAAATTTGAGAAATCTATAGAAATACACTACTGGACAATGAAATATCATATTTAAAAAAAGAGCGTCATTTTCGCGCGTCTGTAACTCCCTTGTTTTTACCGTATTTCTAAATATTAATATTACCATTGTGTAACCCTTGAAAAGGGCTTTCAGAAAATGTATAACACTAATAGTTTAAACTTAAAGACAAGGGAGTTACAGACGCGCGAAAGTGACGATCTTTTTTCAAATATCATATTTCATTGTCCAGTACTGTATGTATACATCTAGAAAAACCTGGAAAAGAAACGAATATCCTCACTATATTAAAGAAAAAAAAAAGGAAATGGATGATTAGATAAAAGATATAAAGATGATAAAAGAGAACCTGTCTTTCTGGCACAATTTTCGCGAAAGAATGCCTCTAAACAGCACTTTTTACCCTCAATTTCAGTTCTTTGCTTGAAAAATTTCCAAAAATATCGGTTAGTGAAAGAATTTGAGAATTTTTATCATTATAGAAATGGTTTTGATTGTAAAAAGATGTCACTAGTTGGATTTGGATGTCTATAAAAGCTGGAAAGTCGAAGTGGAAAGCTATCAAAACTTGCTTTGAAAGTTTCAAGTCTAGAAAAGTTTAAAGAATTTCAAATAATTATCAAATTTCTTAATGAAAAAAGTGATTTGAAATTGTCTTTTTCTCTTTTTTCTTAATTTCATTGTCGATTGGTGACGTTAAAGAGAAAGAAAAAAGAAAGAGAAAAAAGAACGATCGAAAGAAATGACTGTGTCAAAACATTTTAAAATTGAAAAGACAAAACGTTCATCACGAAAGTCAAACCAATATTTTAACCAACATTTTAAAGGGTTTAAGGATTTAAAATGTTATATTTTAAAGATTTAAGAACTTTAAAAGTTTTACATATTGACTCTTTCAAATGAAAGATGTGCAGAAGATGTTTCTGATAAAGGTGATCTAGGAAGAAAAAAAAAGTCAGAGATTGCGTCGATGTGCGCAGGCGAATCGTCGAAGGTGTCAAAAAAAAGGAAAATTCAATTAACTCTTTGATTTTAGTTTCAATTAATCAGTAATCATTTTGTTTTTTATTAATATTTATCATATTTACGAGGAGGAAGAAAGAATTCTTTTCTATTTAAGAAATAAAAACAATTCTTCTCTATTTAAATAGAGAAGAATTGTTTTATTTTTTAAATAGAGAAGAATTGTTTTTAATTCTTAAATAGAGAAGAATTGTTTTTAATTCTTAAATAGAGAAGAATTGTTTTATTTTTTAAATAGAGAAGAATTGTTTTATTTTTTAAGAATTAAAAACAATTCTTCTCTATTTAAAAATTAAAAACAATTCTTCTTTATTTAAGAAAGAAAAAGAAAGAAGAACCCCAGAAATGTATCACTTGGGAATTAAGATTTAGGGAAACTGAAATTTCAAATAAAATTTTGAGGTGAATAATGTGAAGGATTCGAAAGAACAAACCTTTAATTCCTTGCACAAGTTGCAGTGATGGCACAATAATTTGATTCGTTTTGAATTGTGAATGCTTGAAAAGATCACGAATTGATTCGGAAACCATTTCGAGAGCCGAATGCACACACAAATATTGACTGTCGCCTTCTAGGAAAATACAATTAACTCTTTGATTTTAGTTTTAATTAAACAGTAATCATTTTGTTTCTTTTTAATATTTATCTTTATGATAATCTCGAGTGAACTTGATTTCAATGTTATTTTTCACGAACCATTGTTCGGTTGATTGAAATCGATGGCTGTTCGGAGTCGAGAAAGGAAAACGGAAAACCTCTCGACATCTTTTCTCAAATTAGCCGGCATCTGAATCATTTCAATCATAAACATTTTAATCATTGCTTTTAATCTTTAAAAGATATATTTCAATTTCTCCAAAGCTATTTACCCGATTTTCCACTGAAATGTCAGGGTCAGTGCTCGAACAAATCGAACTTGTTGAGGACATTTCGATAATAGATTCGATTCAATAATCGATTTTTCACCAATATTCTCAATACGAATTTAAATCTAAAAATTTTTATTTGTAAATAATTCTATAAAATGAAATAAGATATTATGAAATGTTTTTTAAAAAAAGCCTTTGTTCTGTTTTCTGTGATGTGAATGAGAGAGAGAGAGAGAGTGAAAGTGGCCTAAATTCGCGCGAAATCCTTTTGTTTTTCTATGAGATTTCTTTAGAAAGCAAAAAAAAAGAAAGAATTGAGCTTAAGATATGACTTTTGACAAAGAAATTCATTTTATACAGATATCGATAAAGATAATTTTTCAAAGTTGTACTTGAAAACTAAAAAAGATGACGTTCGTTTTTAAAGCAATTCCTCAAAGTGTCATGATCAATTCAGAATCTAAAATTCATTGATAAATGACCGTGAAAAGAAAACGAAAAGAAAAGTCGTGAAAATAGGCATTTGACACGTTATGGAAAATGTTCTGAGTTAAGCAAATTTAATATTGTTTTTTAGAAAGTAAAGCGACAAAGGATGAGCTTAGAAATGAGCTTAGAAAAAAAGTATGATTTGACTGTTGATGAGTGTGAATGGTTAGTTGAATGCTCAATTGCTCTTTAAGTGTTCGCTCTTTCCGTCTTTCTCTTTACTTTTTCTTTTCACCATTTCCTATCAGAGATTCGATGTGTACTGAGATCTCGTTTCCTTTCCTCTTTTTCTTCAATGGTGTAGTGCGGTTTTGTTACACCATTTCCCCCGCTTTTCCCCTCTTTTCTCATCACACCCATCAAGATCCAAAGTGATCGAGCCTCAAAACAAGATCCCCTTTCATTTATCCTCAAAATATCTAGAATCTAGGGAAATTTGATTGAATGAATGATTGGGAAAGGGATTAATGATTGATATTTATCATCAGAACATACAAAAGTTCGCTTGATTGTTGGGAAATTTCAAAAAATATCAAAAGAATATCAAAAAATATCAAAAGAATATCAAAAAATATCAAAAGAATATCAAAAAATATCAAAAGAATACCACTCTCAACTTGTCAAAAGAATCAAGGTTTAGTACAAAGGAATTTAAGCATAAAAACAAGCAATGATGTACTGATGAACAGATGAACAGATGAGATGAACACAATTCACTTGAAAGCAACCAAAGAATGGAGGAGAGCGGAAGAAAAAAAACGTGAAGTGGAAGGGGGAAAGATGGGAATGGAGGAATGAAGGGGACACTTCATTCGAGGGAATCGTCTTCTTCGCTATTTCTCTTTTCAAATCTCAAAATCCCTTATCCCAGGCGTCAATCGTTTTTCTTTAGTTCCTTAAAAAGACCAAAATCTTGTTTGCAATCATCAATTTGAGAGAAAACGGAAGAAAACAAGTCTCCATGTAAAATGAACAGAACTTTCTCTTGTAACAACGAACAGAACTTTCTCTTCATATGAAATATTTTTTATGATGACGCATAGCTAAGTGGTGAATACAAATCGGCGGGAGGATTCTCGCGGTTTTTTATTCGGAAAGTTTTTGGAAAGAATGGAAAAACGGTGAACAAGAAAAAAAAAGGAGATGAGCAGAAAAATAAGTAAAGATAATGATTTGTTTTACAAATGAAAGATGTGCAGAAGATGTTTCTGATAAAGGTGATCTAGGAAGAAAAAAAAAAGTCAGAGATTGCGTCGATGTGCGCAGGCGAATCGTCGAGGGTGTCAAAAGCCGAATGAACCAAAAAGGAAAAAGAGAAAATGATCGGCTTTCTGGGGGCCGCTTCGTTGCCGCTTATCCACACATCCAACACTCTAGACATGGATCTATTGGGTTGGTGAGTTGAAAACTGCCGGACTTTGAACTAAAATTTATTGAAAATAAAACCATAAATTGATTCCAAATAATTTCCATTATTATTGACGAATTCTGCCCATTTTACAGGCAATTTACGGATTCCTCTTTCGTAGTAGGATTTTGGTTTGTGTGTGAGACAAGTGTGAGACTCAAAAATCGAGGACTGGAGATGTCCCAGTTTGAGCACTTTCTTCAAAAGAAACCCATTTTGGTGTCAATAGAAAAGTTGTAGAGAATCAAAAATTAGACTTATAGCGAAATTTCCAAAAAGATACACTTAGTAGTTTCGCTTAAAATGCAAGTTTTGTGAAAATTCGTAAATTTGGCATTTCTAGAAAACCAGTTTTTGAATCGTTCTGGAAATTTGAATACAAGCTTCATCTTTGATTCTCTACAACTTTTCCATTGACACCAAAATGGGTTTCTTTTGAAGAAAGTGCCAAAACTGTCACATATAATACTGGACAATGAAATATCATATTTGAAAAACGATCGTCACTTTCGCGTGCGCTGAAATGCCTCAAAAAATACGGTATTTCTAAATATTAATATTACCATTGTGTAGCCCTTGAAAAGAGCTTTCAGAAAATGTATAACACTAACACTTTAAACTCAAAGGCAAGGAAGTTACAGACGCGCGAAAGTGACGATCTTTTTTCAAATATGATATTTCATTGTCCAGTACTGTATGACAATAGCCGGCAGTTTCCAATTCACCAACCCAATAGTTTAAAAAAATGTGAAAATATTCACTTTCTTAACTGTGAAACCGTGAAGATCTTTTGTATTTATGTGAAAGCAATGTTTATCTACGAAATTTATTTACAGTCACGTTTCCTTGGTTTTAAACAGCTGCATCCAGTCATATGAATGTCTGAATAGAATTGAATATGTCATTTTAATGCGCAAATTCAATTCAAATCGAATCCATTGTCGTTTATTTGTTTCTTTTTCAAATATACATTGAAAATCGGTTGTCTTATCAGTGTCGTCTTCCATTAGCAGCAAGCAAAATCTGTACATGACCCTCGGATTGTTCGGTGAAATTCTCGAAACATCTGAATTTAAACTAAATTGATCTAATTCGTCTAATTCAAAATTGAGTTTTCAAATGAAATCCCCTTTTTCTATGGAAATTTATTTTTTGAAAAGTGAAAACACACTCACTCTGGCGCGCTCAATGATTTTAATTTTTGATTTTTTATTTTTGGTTTTTCAAGAGAGAAATATCCTTTCTGTATGTAAGGAATTTGAAATCGAAAGGAAAATTTCAGAATAAGAGAAAAAAGAATCTCTTATTCAAAGTTTAGCACGTTGGAATGGGTGTTTTTTCTAGAGTAAAATGCACATAAATTCACCTCGAAAAAGGCTTAAATTGTTAGGCTTTGACATTAAATAGTCGAAATTTCAAATGTTGTTTTTTTGTCACCTGCAATGAATTAAATGTTGATCATTGCGAACAATCTCAGCTAAATGTCGAATGTATCGAATCGCCAATCGCAAAGTGTCCACTTTCGATAATCTTTTCTCACTAAATAAATCATTTTCAATTGTTTTTTGAGATATATACCGTAAATACTGTAATAGTACCCCACCCCACCAAAAATAACCTTTCATATTTACCAAGCTAATAGTACTCCAGCCCCCTCGCACAGTCGCGTAGTCGTAAAAGTTTTTTAGTATTTCATTTTTTGCAAAGCACCCGTACTTTCAAAAAATGCGTCTTTGGTATCAAAAGATAGCCCTGAATTTCAGCTATTTTTTGATACCTAAGCGCGCATTGTAGCATAAACCAGTGTCGAGAAAAAACTCGTTCAAAGCTAGACTACGCAACACTCCGCACCGTCATTATGGGGGGTGGGGTACTATTACAGTATTTACGGTAGGTACATGCATAAGAAATGCGGATTTCAACATTTTCATAAATTTCCAACGATAGAAACCTGATATCGATGATATAATCGATGAATGTTATAAACTATTTAAAAGTTGTAAATCTCCTCTACAAAATAGGCCAAAACGTTTTTCAATTGATCAAACCATTGAAGAAATTTCGAGGGCGATATGCGAGTGACCAAAAAAAGTCACTTTTTGAAAACCCCACTTTCACAAGAGTTTCATAAGAGGTTTTGACTATATAGTGGAAAATGAGCGCTCTAAAATCATTCAAATATCATTCAAATATTGTGAAAGAAAAATTTTTTTTTTTTTTTTTTAAAAAAATTTTTTTTTTATTTTTTTTTTTTTTTTGAAAGGGGGTTTTTTTTTGGGTTTTTTTTTTTTTTTTTTTTTTTTTTTTTTTTTTTTTTTTTGTAAATTTTTTTTTTTTTTAAAAAGGGGGGAAAAAAATTTTTGGGGGGTTTGGTTTTTTTTTTTTTTTTTTTTTATGGGGGGGGGGGGGGGGAGGGGATTTTTTGGTGGGTGGGGGAAAAGGGGGGGGGGGTTTTGGGGTGTGGGGGGGGGGGGGGGGTTTGGTTTTTTTGGGGGGGGGGGGGGGAAAAGGGGGGGGAGAAAAGGGGGGGGGAGGGAAACAGAAAAAAAAGAAAAGAAGGGGAAGGAAGAAAAGGGGGGAAGGGGAAAAAAAGGGGAAAAAAGGGGGGGGGTGGGGGGGGTTTTTGGTTGGTTTTCTAAATATTTTTTTGTGTTTTGGGTGGGGGGGGGGGGGAAAAGGAAGGGGGGGGGGGGAGGGGGGGAAAAAGGGGGGGGAGGAAAAAAAAGGGGGGGGGGGGGGGAAAAAGGGGGGGGTTGGGGGGGGGGGGGGGGGTGGGGGGGGGGGGGGGGGGGGGGGTTTGGGGGGGAAAGGAAAGGGGGAAGGAAAAAGGAAAAAAAAAAGGAGAAAAAAAAGGGAAAAGGGGGGGGAGGGGGGAAAACCGGAAACCCCCCCAAAAAGGAAAAAGGAAGAGAAAAAGAGGGGTGTGTGGTTTTTTTGTTTTGGATAGTGGTGGTTTGGGGGGGGGGGGGGGGGGGGGAGGGGAGGGGGGGGGGTTTGGGGGGGGGGGGGGGGGGGGGGGGGGGAAGGGGGGGGGGGGGGGAGGAGCAAAAAAGGGGGGGGCCCCCCCCCCCCCCCGCCCCCCCCCGCCCCCCCCCGGGGGCAAGGGGGAAACGGGAGGGGGGGCCGCGGGGGGGGGGGGGGTGGGGGGCCCCCCCCCCCCCCCCCGCGTGCGGGGTTGGGGCCCCCCCCCCCCCCGGTTGGGGGGGAAAAAAGGGGCGGGGGGGGAAAAAAGGGGGAAAACGCCTTTAAAGGGGGGGGGGTGGGGGGTTTTTTTTTTAGAGGGAAGGATTTCTGGGGGGGGGGGGGGAGAGGGATTTTTTTTAAAAGGGGGAAAAGGGGAAGGGGGGGGGGGAGGGGGGGGGTTTTTTTTTTAAAGGGGGTTGTTGGTGGGGAAGGGGAAATTAAATTTGTTTAACCGGAATAATTAAGAGTTCGGATCATTTCATGGGAGAACTTTGTTTTTACAATAACTTTTCTTTTTTGTGAAAAAGCCGGGTTTTTTTTGACAATTTTGAGGGTTTTGAACTTACCCTCTATCTAAATTTCTGTAAATGCATTTCCGTTTGACTTTTTTAATGAATTCATATATAGTTATCCTTTTTTTTAAATCTTCAATTTTGGGAAGCTAACTCTATTTTGATCACACTAAACTTCTCCCTAAATTGACACTAAACTCAATTCCTTTTTTGGTCACTCGCATATCGCCCTCGAAATTTCTTCAATGTTTCGATCAATTGAAACACGTTTTAGCCTATTTTGTAGAGGAGATTTACAACTTTTATTACACTTATTATTACTTACTTACTTTTATTACTTATCATTACAACTTACAACAACAATAGTTTATAACATTCATCGATTATATCATCGATATCAGGTTTCTATCGTTGAAAATTTATGAAAATGTTGAAATCCGCATTTCTTAGGCATGTACCTAATATTTTATCAGATTATTTTCCTTTATTTACATGAGCAGGTGTTAATCGTTTCTTGTCAATCAATCATCCATCATTCAGTCAGATTTGGAAAGCTTTATGAGCAAATATTAGTAGAGATTTGTAGGGTCACTTTTTCACAAACAAAAAGAATCATTATAATATCAAAAAATGTTCTAAGTTCTAAAGAAACGCTTATATATTGTTTACAATAAATTGTTTCTTATGAATTTTTTCAAATTTTCAACTCACTCTTCGGCGACGGGTAAATGTTTACGCAATCTTTGATACCCATCATTTACACATCTCACTCGGAAACGCTCTCGTTCATTTCGTTTCCATACAGAAGTCGTAAAAGGTCTAAATCAAAAACATCTTAAAAGCTTAAAGCTTTAAAGATATTCACAAACAAAAACTTCAAAAAACTTTCAACTTTAGTATCGTTTAGAGAGTTTTAAGTTAAATTCAAAAGAGTTAAATAAATTTGCAAAAAGAAAAACTTCTAAATTCTAAGAAAACAGAAATGAGAAACATTTCTAACTAAATTTAGCTTTAATATAAATTTTTCCTACCCAAATTGATCCTCCAATTGATTCGGTAAAGGTACAACAGCGGCTGGATCGAATGGATCGAGGATCGGCTTTTTCTCTGATGATGGAGCTGTCACTAAAGCTGACTATTTGTAATGTCTCCATCACTTTTTCTATATTGATTTCTTTATTCACCAATTCGTGTCGTTTCATTCATTCCAACAGCCATCCCAAACATTCCATTTGCCGCACTTGAAGTGATTCCCATTTCATACGGATTGAAGGGCTAGATAAGAACAATAGATGATACTTTTCAAGCAACATTTACCATGTTAGAAGCGGTGATAAAAGTGGGATCATTTGTGGGAAAAACGGTAGTTGAGACACCATTTGTGATAGGAACGGTGGCTGTTGTGAGGAGACCACCTCGATAAAGATTTGAGAAAGCTGGAGTGGCAATGAAAGCCATTGTGAAGAGAAGATCTGAAAGTGTTTGTAAATTATCTGCATTTAAAAGATTTAGATTTTAAATTTGTCCTCACAAGAAAACGTGATAAGGCTCAAAAGGTGGAAGACATTTAAAGGAGAAGAAAAAAAGGAGTGTTATGATTAAAGAAAATTAAAAAGATCTATGAAATTGATATGAAACTAAACGGTCGGCTTTATCCGAATGAGGTGGATATTCAATGGGCAATCTGTGCAAATATGGAAATAGGTATGAAAAGAGGAAGAGAGACAAATCATACAGTCAGTGCCTCTCTCTCTCTCTCAATCCATTTTTGGGCACTGTTTGTGAGGGTCTTTCATGAGACAATATATAGAGAAAGAAAGGGATCTACCAGCCAGCCGAATCTCTCTTTTGATTCATTCATTCAACACCCAAACAAGCACAATTATCCAATTTCAAAGGATATCGCGTCAAGTGGATTGTTGTCATTAAAATGCGTCTCTTTTCTAAAAAGTATCTCTTTTAAGAAACTACCGTAATGACCGATCAGAGATTTTGTTATCATTAACTGAATCTTGTGATAGACATAGAATGAGACATGTGTTAATTGAATGGAAATTGGTCGTTTAATTACTGTAATTTAACATACCGTAAATACTGTAATAGTAGCTCACCCCCCTCGTACAGTCGCGTAGTCGCAAAAGTTTTTTAGTATTTCATTTTTTGCAAAGCACCCGTACTTTCAAAAAATGCGTCTTTGGTATCAAAAAATAGCCCTGAATTTCAGCTATCTAGGGCCATCGCTTAAGGGTAGGATTTAGAGAGCCGTCTGTCAAAGGAAGGTGTGGGGTTAAGTTAAGATATAGCCAAGTATTGCGTGTGTGATTGTGATTGATGTCTTTCGTGTACGCAATAAATCCACCACTGGTATGAATTATTGAATATATATGCATACCGTAAATACTGTAATAGTACTCCAGCCCCCTCGTACAGTCGCGTAGTCGCAAAAGTTTTTTAGTATTTCATTTCTTTCAAAGCGCCCGTACTTTCAAAAAATACATCTTTGGTATCAAAAAATAGCCCTGAATTTCAGCTATTTTTTGATACCTAAGCGCGCATTGTAGCATAAAGCAGTGTCGAGAAAAACACGTTCAAAGCTAGACTATGCAACACTCCGCACCGTCATTATGGGGGTGGGGTGCTATTACAGTATTTACGGTAGACGTATTTTAATTAAAAAGAAGAAGAATAACAACACAAAAAGAACAAAAAGAACAACAGAGATTGATGAAAAATGAAAAGAAAAGCTGAAACAATGTAGGTAAATGTTGGAAAGTAAATTTTTATTTAAAGCTGGAATGATGTAGGTAAATGTTGCATAAACATAGTTAAGGATGAATGGTTGAATAGTTACTAATTGACTTTTCTGTCTAATATAATTGGTGCCTCAGTTGACATTTATTGTTCTCGTGTATAAGTGAGGAAGTCTCTCCTTTTTCTATTAGAATTTTTAATGCAAAACACCACGTTTACATGTGTATCGATGTGTGAGTATGAGGGGAGATACATTCATGGGATTCCCTCGCCAACATTCCACTCTTTTTGCCCAGTCTCATTTTCTTCTTTTTCTTTTTATCAGCAATGCGCATCTCCACACATCCATCACCACTCTTCTTCATAATAGACTCCCTAGAAGACCCCATTCCCCGTCATGTATGTCCCCATTTCTTTAATTTCTTTTTTTTTTCTTCTTTTCATCTGATAAATCCCAATCATTACGTGAATAATTTGGGATATTGTAGTTTCGAGACTCCTTTGTGCTCACAATCCGTACCTTTCTAGTATACAGTCGACTCTCTTTCTATAACAGAACTCTATATAGCGGAAAACTCTATATAATAGAATATATTTTGTTGCAAAACCTTTAGCGGCAATGGCTGCTGCACAACGCTGTGGCATCGAATTGATCAATTTGTCGATAGTGGCCTGAGGAATCTTGGCCCATTCATCTTTAAGCGCGGCGACGAGTTCGGTGGTTTTTGTGAATGTTCGTGTCCGAATGCGTCGATCCAATTCCGCCCAAAGATGCTCAATAGGGTTGAGATCCGTACTTTGGGCCGGCCATTCCAAGACTTCGACGTTTGATTGTTGAAACCATTGAGAAACAAGTCGAGCCTTATGCTTCGGGTCATTGTCTTGCATAAACAACCAATCGGGGTCCAAATTTTGTTGAGCAAACGCAAGCATTTCTTCATCCAAAGTGTCTCGATAGCTTACAGCATTCATTATTCTGTTGATTTCGACAAGTGGACCAACACCGAAAAGCAAGCGAAAAGCAACCTAAACTTATTCATTTTTTTAAGTCAAGTGAAGCTTATACCCCATGTCATGACCGAACCGCCACCGTGCTTAATGACCGAACCGCTACCGCGACTCCCTAGAAGACCCCATTCCCCGTCATGTATGTCCCCATTTCTTTAATTTCTTTTTTTTTTTCTTTTCATCTGATAAATCCCAATCATTACGTGAATAATTTGGGATATTGTAGTTTCGAGACTCCTTTGTGCTCACAATCCGTACCTTTCTAGTATACAATCGACTCTCTTTCTATAACAAAATTCTATATAGCGGAAAACTCTATATAATAGAATGAAATATAATGAAAAATTTTGGTCCCGGCCTATACTAAGCTATATAAAATGGCACTCTATATAACGAAAACATTTTTTGATCCCTTTTTGATTTCGTTATAGAGAGAGTTTATTTAGTTTGTAGTTTATTCGACGGTAGTTTATTTTTGTTTAAAGAGAGAAAATGTTTTCTTTTTGTTTATGCATTTTAGATTTTCTAAGCCAACATTGACTTAAAACTCGACATCACATTTCTTTAGCTCCAGTATAAGCCATCTAAGTTTGAGCTTCTGATTTGGATCATTTCAAAGCACCCCCTCAATACGTTACCCCTATATCAAGGCTTGCTTTAAGTGCTTAGAAATATTTGAAAACTTTATCGTATTCTTAAAAAGGATGACAAAAGTCACATAAAGTAAAAATTTCTCATTTGTGTAACTTATACACGGTGGCGCACAATGACCCGCACTCAGTTCAGATTCTCCAGCTTAGCGATGAGTCAATCAATCGACCTAATTCTTTTTTTATTAACAAATTGAATATTTCTCCTGCAATGTGTTTTCTCGATTTGATCAGAAAAGTTTCTAAACTTTTGCTAGAGCACTGCAAAGTTGCGACACGCCTTTCCTGCAGCGGAATCGTGATTTTCTGGCTTTTGTAACTAGTTTCAATGCCTCAAAATCAAAGAAAACCAGCTTCATTTACTTCTTTTTACCTATTATTTCCAAAAACTAGCTCATTTTTACTAGAAAAAAATGAATTTCGATTAGGGATCAAAGTGCAAAATGTGAATTTGAACTAAGTTCGGGTAATTGTGCGCCACCCTGTCAATTCTTGACCATTCAATTCCGAACCTGTCTACCCGAACTTCAGTATCAATTCTTGATACTGAACCTATCCGAACCTGTCTACCCGAACTTCAGTATCAATTCTCGGCGCTGAACCTTCCCGAACTTGTCTACCCGAACTTCAGTATCAATTCTCGGTACTGAACCTTCCCGAACTTGTCTACCCGAACTTCAGTATCAATTCTCGGTACTGAACCTTCCCGAACTTGTCTACCCGAACTTCAGTATCAATTCTCGGTACTGAACCTTCCCGAACTTGTCTACCACCTGATCTACGGTACACATACTCTCAAACAAACCACTATTTTGCTTTATGTTACTCGTAACACGAAAAAGCCTAAAAACAAGCTTTTAATATTACATGCCATTTATCTTTTTACTTTTAAAGAAACATCAAAAATTCAGCTGCATGTTCCAAATTTATGGGGAGTCTCTTTTCGTAATCAGAAATTCACATCAAGATGGTGAAATTGATAGATGAAAATATGTAGATAGATTTCATATTTTTTCAATTCATTTTTTTAACATTACTCATAAAATTTCCTATAATAATTTACACTTTTTTTTTGTCTTTTGAAAAGAAAAGGTGTCAAATGCATTTAGTCGCTGAATTAATTGAGTTGTGAGAAAAAGAGAGAAATGAATCGAGGAAAAGACAAATAGAAACGATAGAAGAAAAAAAAAAAGAATTTCCTTCTCATTTACTCTATAAACTTTAGAGTTTTTATCGAATAATCGTGAAATTCTTGGGTCCATAAGAACTTAGAATGTCTGTTTTCTCATAAATGTCTCTAGCATACTCAGTTTTCTTCATTTTCCTTTGAAAGATTCGAATTCAACTCAAAAACGAATCATCCAACGTGCCAGAAAGAGTGCGTTTGTTAAAGCACAAATTGGGGGCAGGCTAATTTCCGCAATTTTTTTTGCGCAACTGGATCGTTTGCGCAACTCGCCATAACTTTCTTCTAAGTGGGCCAATCTTTATGATTTTGGTTTCATTTTGTTGCACTTATTGAGATCTACAAAATGAAACTACAACATCATAAAGATTGGTCCAATTAGAAGAAAGTTATGGCGAGTTGCGCAAATGATCCTGTTACGCAAAAAATTTGGCGCAAAGTAGCCTACCCCACTAAGTTATGTTATAAAAAGTTATGATAGTTTGTCATTCCACTAACTTTGATATATTGAAATTCGTATTGAAATTTCTATTGTGGAACTAAGTTAGGGCTAGGCTAATTTCCGCAATTTTTTTTACTCAACTGGATCGTTTGCGCAACTCGCCATAACTTTCTTCTAAGTGGGCCAATCTTTATGATTTTGGTTTTAGTTTGTAGATCTCAATAAGTGCAATAAAGTGAAACCATTAAATTCATTAATTAAATTTCATTCATTTTGGGGTAGGCTACTTTGCGCCAAATTTTTTGCGCAACTGGGTCATTTACGCAACTAGGTCGTTTTGCGCAACTCGCCATAACTTTCTTCTAAATCGGCCAATCTTTATGATTTTGGTTTCATTTTGTTGCACTTATTGAGATCTACA